TCTTTCTTTGGACTGAGTTCAATCATTACTCTCAAAGCACTTACAATTGTATTACTTGAATGAAATGTTCAACATCTATAGTAAAAATGTGATATAAGCAACTACTTTTGAATAAATTGCTGAATACTTCTTTGGAATGTTAAAAAATGAACAGCATTGTTTTTTTTGGGGGGGGGATAACAGAAAAAACGCATATCACAGTATTCACAACAGATTGTGATGAAAGGCTAGTCATCATTCAACAAACTGCATCAGTTTGTACAACAGATCTCCATTCAGATGCGCAGTCCAAAGATGATTCTGCTCATCAAAAGTCTAACCTACAGTTTGGAAAGTCTGTTGGTTCTCCTTGAATTGTACCCTGCAATGAAACTCTTGCCATTATGCCTCTAAATTGCAGCGTTCCTGAGTAGGCGGGGCCGTCTCTCTTCTTCCACCGGGCCAATTTAGTGGACAGGGAGGGTTTCACGTGAATGAAACATGTTTGAGCTCTGAGCGAAACCTGAAAAAGCTGAAGGAAGCGCCGTCCCGTATGAACACAGAACCAGAAACAACAAGCCCAGAGGGGCGTTTCAATTCACTTTCTCTTTTCCCCAAAGCAACATTGGACTTCAAATCGTTTGTTTTGTGCGAAAAACAGTGTAAAGCCCAAAGACTCTTCAAATAGGCTGTTGGCACCATGCAGCAAATGCTTAACTCTTTGATTTAATACTAAAGCAATGAATCACTACCAGTAGTCTTTGATTGATTTAAGTGATTAATCAACAACACTGTATCTCTAGAAGTGTGTGATATTCTGATCAATTCTGCATGCAGCAGCTATCCTCTTTTGTGAGTGCTTGAGCTCCTGTCAGAAACAGAATTAGATATCTTATTGACTTGTTGGCATTTAATATCTAAACTCCATGACTGAACTTCCTGCACATGCTGTAGTTTTCACTGGAATACGTCACACTTCATGAGACTGCCTCTCTCCACCATGTTTATAAATGACTCCCTCTGCCTTCAACATTTTACTTTACAAAAAAATGTACCCTTCTCAAATGCCAGATCACAGAGCTGGATCTGGTAATCAACCCAGTGGGATGGGTCACATTTGTCACGCATGATATAATGATATCTGATTAATTAAATTTGAATTTTGGGCAGTGACATATAAACAGTGTGTCATTAATTCATATGCACGTGGCTTCTCTGGGTCACGAGTTGAGCAGAGCAGCCTGGCAGCGACCGGGGACCTGACCAGTTCAAATCACAGGTCCAAACCCAGCATGCATGCATGATTTAAACACATCTAAATGGCAGATGGCGAGAGAGCTGGCTCATGTCTGCCTCTGAGACAGAAGCAGTGATGTGGGGGAAACAGAGGGCGGGGCTGCGCATTAGAGAGACGAATGGCTCGGCTTGTCTTTAAGATTACTTTTCCCTCTTAAAACATTCACTTCATCTGTGTCAGTCCTGCTCTAAAGTTGTTATTGGAAAATAGGAAAGGTGGAAAACCATTCGATGTTGGCACTGTCTGCATCAGTCACACGCTGACACACACATACACACAGAAAATACATTTCATCCTCCATATCCGAAACAGCCAATAGCACTGGCAGGCATTTGCGACCTCAATCCATATTTCAATTTCCCTCCTCTCATGCAAACTAATTCGATACTTGTTGCCTTCCCTCACAAGCGATCGGCAATGTGAGAAATGAGCTTCTTCTCAGGCTGCATCTATAAAAGGCCCAATCAGAGACATTTTTTGAGTGGGCCTCTGCCTATATCAATTATGTTTTTGTAGGGCCGCACAGGCAGATTCTTGGATCGAGCTTTACAGGATGGAAAATCAGCGCTTTGCAGCTTCTTCATCCGAAATGCAAATCACTTTCCTCCATATTTTGTGTACTCCAAATGCATTCAGCCCACATTATCTGCATTTCAAACTGCTATTTTGCATCACGCTTTGTCAGAGCGAAAGTCAAGAGCTTAACTTCTCGTGTTTTAACCATAAGCAATTTAGGTTGTTTTTTTTTGAGCTGGGTGCCTATTTTTTAATATATTGTGTCATCTAAATGGCTAAAAGGTAAAAAAAAAAACATTTGCAGAATTGGAACAGTCGTTTATTTCAGCAGGAAGCCTCAAAACAAGGAATTGCAGCCGGTCATAGTATGCCAAGAAAAAATGTTTTTTGCCACTGACAAGCTCAGAATGTAATTTGAAAGGATGAAGACTGAGATAGCAGTAAGATCAAGAAACAGCTGTTAGGTGGCTCGCTTTAAAGCAAGTAGAATACATTAACAGAAACACTTATTCTGGCTTACAGAACACAGCAGCTTCTGGTCTACATTGGCCGCTATCAAAAGAAAATGTAACAACAGTTTATGGTTTGCAAAAAACATGCTACTCCCTACAAACTGGTTTATAAATGTAGGGATCCATGAAGTTATGTCATTGGACACATAGATGAATAATCTGAACCTATCAGCATCAAAAACAATCAAATGCGACATAACAGAAATCAGCTATAGCTAATATCAACAGCCATCTACTTTCTGCACTCCTTAGTTCAGATTTGTATGGAAGTCCATCACAGAAACACCAAAGCTGTAGGCTGTGGTGCATTTTCCGACTCGTTTTGTAATTGATCACAGCACAGGAGAAAGAAAGACTGGCCATAAATGATGAGCCCAATTTCAGCTGAATTTCCATATATTCTTTAATCAGGCTCATTAGTGCAGAATTATTCAGTCAAACTCCATTGGTTTAGATTCTACAAAGGATATCTGACAAGTGAAAGATTTCCGATACCGTTCTCCGAACTGACTGGCACGTCGTTCACTAACTGCTGAAGCTATTTACAACATAAAAACCAAGAAAATACGCACATGAATCTTGACAGCCTCACCCTGCAGCAGCATCAACAAAAGCAATTTCCCTGAAGCACACAGCCAAATAAGAATATGAGTGTAAACAAATACAGAACATGGCTAGCTGGGTGCAGCAGAGTCAGACTGAGAGGTGCTGCAGAGCAGTAACAGTTAAACTGTCCAAATGTACCACAATATAAAAGAACACTTGCTGTTTACGTGATAGTGCTTTGGTGAAGAGTTTATTATCGGTCATTGCATTCTATCCTCCAATTCACTGTTGAAAATGCAAACAAAAAGGAAGACAAACTGGTCAATCACGTTAGGTTAATTAATATCTAATTAAAGGTTTGTTCAGATGTAATTATCGGAATGATTCTGTGAAATCAGCCATCAGACCATTTTCCCATGCTTTGGTCCATACTATTACTTGAACAGGCAAGCCTCTGGTTTCCAACCCAAATCCCGATATGGACTGAGCTTCTGTATATCTTTCTAGCGTCTACTGTCTATGTTGTGTTTTATTATCATTAATTTGTATTATATTCCTTGGCGGGATATTTACCACCCTGTCCTCTAAAATGACGGAAAGCAGGAAAGTCTAACACAACCTCTGAGTAACATCACCTTCTCTTAATCAGCCTGGCTCCCCTTTTCTTCATGACTCTTTGGCCATGTAAAGGGAGAAGCAGGCGGGTAATAGCGACAAATTTAGTGGCTTAAACGACGACAGCTTTACGACGCCTGAGCGGCCTCTATGACTCCATTCCTGTCGGATTCTATTAGCTTGGTCTGCACCGTGCGTTTCGATTGGCTCTTGGCCTATTCCCAGCAGTTACTGAAGCACCTCCCGTAAATAAACCAAATGGTTGCATCTTGTAGTGTGTATGTGTGTGTGTGTGTGGGGGGGGGGCTCTTGTGTGAAGAAAGATCTGACAAAGTGGTTGAGTAGTTTAATATTGAGCATCGAGCTGAAAGGACAGAGTCGAGCTGAAATGCATCAGTGTGAGAGTTTAAATCTGACTAGCATTTAAGAAGAAATACAAGCAGCCAGGGGAGAGAGGCACTCTTAAATCAAGACAAGTGGTCTCATTCCTCTACAAACACACACACACACACACACCTATAAACAAAAAGAAAAATGTCTCTATCCAGCAGCTGCCAGGTGGAAGTCTAAAAAAGGCCACCTGTCTAATAACAGTTTCTGATGCGCACAGCTCAGCAATATGAAACCAAGCATCTGCCCGCTGCCCTCCAAATTGATCTTGTTAACAGCTTGCAAAACTGTGTTCCTCTTTTTATCCGATTTATTTGGGTTTTCTCCCATCCCAAAAAATAAGTTTGTGTTTATCAATACAAGCAATCATGTCTTGAGGATGCAATATGTTTCGCACCAGCTCTCGATAGCCAGGTGTCAAGGAGCACACAGTGTTTCCATCAGGATAGTTTTTTTTTTTTTGTTATTATGTTCACTACCAACTATGTTAAAAAAAAAAAACAGTCTTTTTTTTGGAGAAACCAGAAGCCCCAAGGGTAAAAGAAAAACATGGAAAAATACTAATACCAATAATTAGATTGCAGTTCCTGACATGCTGCGGTTGAATCGGTTTTTTTAATGGCTCTGAGATGATGGCCTTTGAAAAACATTTCATTCGACTAATGAAAATACAAGATGACTGCTGTAAAAAGAAAGGCTGGTGAGACTTTTTCTTACATGGAATCGTAAGACTTATTCAGACTGCCCGCTCAAGAAGTGAAATTTCAGCACCCGCAGTGTCTTTACCTGTCGCACATTCGCAACGCCGTAAGGCAACGTTTTCATGTCAGGAAATGCACAGGAGTACTTAACTCCTCTAAAGATGGCACAAGCTTTTTTTTGTCACTGAGCAAGCAAACACCAGCAACTGGGCTCAACCATTGACCATCTCCATTTCCTCCTGTTGTACAAGAAGTGAAGCAGAGTTATCCCCTGCGACATGCGCTCACATATTGTGCATTTTGGAGCTAGACAGAGTCTGTGCAGTAGTCCCGCCCCTTCCACAAACCAAAACATACATTAACAGTTTAAACGGAAAATATCCTTCAGGGTCCATAAAGACCACATCAGAACAGATTCTTTGACGGTTTGAAGTAGACACTTACAGTATTGAAAAGTGCTTTACTCTGGCAGTCCCGCTCTTGCAGAGGGTTCCTCTTGAACTTCCTCCTTTACTCTGCTCAGCCGGTGCTGCAGGAGAAACATTTGACAACAGAGCGTCAATCATGGCATTATACCCCCTTTTATAGCATCACAAACTAAAACTGCAATTTCAGAATATGAACACTCAGGCATTAATTGAGCTTTAGAACCACCAGTAATGACAGAAACCATGTTGGAGAGAAATGTTTGCAGCCAGTCAGTAGGGGGCGCTCTTAATGATTTGGCATCACTATATGGACCTGTCATGTTAGAATGATTTTTCTCTGCTGGAGAAATAAGTGAGCTACTAGTCCAGTTATTTTTTGCTGATTTACCTGCAAAATTATTTTGGGATCTTTATGCCTTTTTTTTTTTCACTGAATGTTGTTGGTAGCGGAGACGAACAACATGGTTGCTACAACTTTTTCTTATGTATTTTTTCTTAAAATTTTAGCATAAAATGTGGAAGTGTTGCCTCTATTAAGCGTGTGTTTAAAATGTAAAGCATTATTATAATAAAGAAAGTCATCAAGCTTTTGTACAATATTACAGTTTATGAATGCTCTTGCAAAGATTTCTTATTCTTATTAAAGATATCAGATCCTTTTAGTTTAAAAAAAAGTTCATTTTGTTTGACTATGGAATCGGTTTAAGTGACATACAACCGAAATCAGTACAAAGGCCCCGAGAAGAAAACACTGTTTCTTGTTTTGTTTGTTTGTTTCCTTTTTTCAAGTAGAGCTGCAGCTCATTAAAACTTCAAATACTTTTGCAAGGACCAAAATACTGAAAGCCATGAATTTCTCTGTCAGGAATTTCTTTTTAGCACCAGCCATGAAAAGAAACTGTGACGTTGTTGAGAAACAGTGAATGGGGAAGAAAGGAAAGGCAGCCTTTGAGATTTCTTGGAGAAGATTCAATTATTTCACACATTTACTGTTAAGAGTCAAACATTCATTCAGAAATGTCCTAAAGAAACACATTCCTCCCTTCACATGCACAAAGCAACTGAATTTTTAACTTTCACATAAAAGACCAGTGAGAACACTCTCAGCTCAGCTCTTATTATCTAATCAATTCCTGGTATTTTAACACCCTTAATATCAATTTTCACGGCGAGGAAGCCTGTTGGAATTTTTTTTACATTTTCACACCAATAATCCCTCCTGCACTAATTAAATCCACACGGAAAATGACGAAAGGAGCCGAGAAGTTCCTCCTACCAGTTTAGCATCACACATTAACACACCTGCGCCTTTAATAGATTGGTAATCACAGCAAGCTATCGGCTAATATTTCAGCGCCAAAAAGAGCTTTAACCAAGCACAAAGTACAAACATACGTCACATTAGGAATATGACATAGTATAAAAAATAAAAAAAAACACATTTAGGCCTTTAAAACTCACCTTTCATTCGTTTTTTCCGCGTAACAGAGAAAGGTATTTTCAAAAGGAGCGTCAGGTGTTCTTCCTGGTTAAGGTGTGTTCAGTCGCCCAATCAGCGGCTGGCCACGCGCCGTGCCCTCTTTATCATAAAGCTCCCACGCGGGGTTTGTTTAGGTTTTGCAAACACTCGACATTCAATACATTTCTGATTTTGAATGTCTGAAATTAAACCTATATGCTCAGTCTGTGTCTAGAGAAATTAAAGTTGTTGTATTTTTTAATCACCTTTCATCAAGTTAATTCGGATGTAATGATATATATTAAAAAAAAAGTCATCCAGGGGCCAAATTTGGCATCATAGTTGTTTAAAGAAAAAGAAAACGGAGAGCAGCTAAGGTTAAGTGTTAAGTAACTTTCCACAAGTTAAGGTTATCAGTCCTGCTTGCAGTATTATGTTGCATTATTTGTAGGCATGTGGGCAGTACTTGAAGGTGGAGCTACTTTTATAATCTTGTTGTTGTTATGTTATATTTATGCATATGTGCAAAAGTATCTATACTGTTTGAAGTATGAACGCTAGTGAAGCTTGTTATAAGTATGTCTACCTTATAGTGTTGTGCATGCATAAATGGGGGTTATTCATCATGTTTATTCCTGACTGTAACATGCCCCTTTGGATCTTGGTGTTTTGTAATATACATGACATCTTAATGAAGGAAACAGATAGACATAACAACCAGTTATTCACTTTAATTTCTTCCCAGAATTGTTGTCAATACAAGACAAAAACATATTTCCTGGCAAGCACTATGAAATGCGGGAAGCTTGTCATGTATATATGTTTTTGTAAATAATTTCCCACATGAAAGTGGGTCATCACATCAAGATACTGTATATGCAAGATGTGTCAGGGCACACAAGATAATGCAACAAGCAATTAAAAATGTACTGAGAATAATGCAAACATGAATCATAGTGCAGTTGTGTTGTAAAGATGTGCAGCTTTACTGGCTTTGATGATCTGGCATGAAAAGACATTTCGTAATATGATTATGATCTTGATGCCAGCATGTAAATTGGCTTTGAAAAGAATAGTGTGCAAGCTTGTTTATGTTGTTGCAGATGTAAGTAGGCAGTGATGCAGATATTAAGTCACCACACATGTGGGTAGCAGCCCATGTAGGGTAACTTGGCAAATTAACAGTGTTACAAGAATATTGTGATATGATTTTCTCTTTTGATGGTTGAAATCAAATTCATCCAACTTCAACAAAAGCGCTTGGGATGCACAACGAGTTTGCTGTGAAGCGCATCCAAAAGGTTGTCTGGTGTGATATTTACTTTTAAGGCAAGGGAAATTAGAACAATAAATAAAGAAGAATCTGGCAATTGAATAAAGAGGAGAAGAGAAAAAGTTGTCACGACACCTGGATTGTTTTCTTCTGTTTGATCTCACGAGGAGCCGAATGCTGTCGGGAAGAAATTCAAAGGATCTTTTCACAGGTGGAATTTGAACCACTGTTGTGTGAAACAGTCCACGTTCCCACAGTTTGAATTATATACATCCGTTGATCCTCTGCTCTGGCACTTGGGGTAATAATACAAACTTTTTTTTTTTTGTTTGTTTTAATGTGACGCGCGTCCCTGCATGATTCATAATGTGGAATTTTCCCAGCTGGTGGGATGTTTCAGTACATGAAATTGTATTACTGTGCCACAATCCCGGCTTACTCTACAGGTCTGGCACCGTGTTCAGCCGTGGCTCGGCGCTGGAGTTTAATGCAATTATAAATAAATAAGCATGTGGTCGGGAAGAAGACAGGGCCCTATGGGGACAGGCTTGGAGAAAATAGAGGAAGTTTAATTAAAGCTGCAATCTGCACTCCCACACACACACACACACACACACACACACACACACACACACACACACACAATAACAGAGGCACACAGTAATATAGGCAAACCAGTTGATTGTGTTTGCATGTGCACTTGCCTTTATAAGAGTTTGTCTTTAACTGCAACCATACAAAAGATATTGTGTGAGTATCCACACTGCTCCATCCATCCATGTGTGCACGTCTTTAAAGGCAAATCAATATAGGAGGAGGGGAATGTATCTGTAGAGTAATCCTGTGTTGCATTCAGGTAAAGCTGCTATTACACTCTCCGCACAAACGATTTCGGCCATGTTTTTTGTTTCATTATTTTTTGCAAAATGATTGAACTGCCAGTCTCTTTGTAATTACCTGAGGGGTGCCGGCAAAGGAACAGCCAGTAAAAAAAAAAGAAAAAAAAAAAAGGCTGATGAGGGAGTATTGAATTTGCACTTCAATTAGAGTGCTTATAAAGTGTGGATTACACAAGGACTTCGGGGCCACAGCTCTCACTCTATTACCACCAAGCATTATGGGAGGAGGGACAGCAGCTGGGGGGAGGGACGGAGGGGTGGGGTGGACAGTGAAGGCATTGGGGTGAAGAAGCAAGGTGGCGGACAACGATGCGAAAAAGAAAATTAAGAGATGTTGAGCCAAGTGTTTAATCAGATCCATTCAAAGGCTGATAAACTGAGGGGACGAAACGAGGAGGAAAAATAGGAGGGCCATCCATCCGTGTGTGACTCAGGTCTTCCTCTCTGTAAGTTCTGGCCATGGACTCCACAAGGACGTCTAAAAACACACAACCATCTCAGTTTCTTAAACTGCCTGCCACCACTATACTGATTTGTAACGCCTGCGTGCCTGCACTGCTTTCATTTCCACTGCCTGTGTTGTTTAAACAAGTCTTCTCAGAGTTGATGAGGGTATACAGAGGAATTTGTTCAAAAAAAAAAAAAAAGTTGTATAAAAAACAACCTCGACAATGCGTCTGAGTCCCTGAGTTAATTCTCAAATGGATTATTGAGCCAATGAGTGAAAATCACCGGCCATTCAGAGTGGATTTGTCTGCGAGGCAGCGATAAACGACAGCTCGCTTTGCTGCAGCTTAGCTCCTCGATTCGGAGAAGAAGATGCTTGAAGGACATGCTTTTAGAGTAAACAGTGCCAGTGGCAGTGAAGAAAAAAGGGAACATTGATTACTTGGCTGTATATGCATATAAAAGTGATGCGAGATGATACGAATGTGAATAATGATTCATTGTAATAGAGCCTGATGAGGAATTCTTGGCCTTAGGCTACTCTTTTGATTGTGAGATTTTCAAGTGTTTTAAGGTCCTCTTTTTTGACTCTGAAACCACTTTCAATTACTTAACACAGAATTTAGCTGGTATGATACATGTGTAGAGGTCACCTGGATTCAATTTGTTATAAGATATCTGGCAGTAAAGGGGGATGAAAGCTAATGCTAATCGGTCTTGTAGAAATAAAGAAATGCCTTTTGGCTCTTTACAAAAATGGGGATTTCATGTCTGCACGTACCTTTAATCTCCCAGACTCCTGCTATTTTGTGTCTGTTTAGATCATCTACCTCCTTTCCACCTTTCTCCCCCCCCTCTCTCTCTCTCTCTCTCTCTCTCTCTCTCATTGGTACTGTCAACAAAGAATGTGCAGGCTTCCCACAGGCCCTAAAGGAATCTCTCACACTGCACTCACATAATCACTTCAGACCCGGCTGTTTAGGCCGACATCTCCACTGGGAGTTACCAGCCGCTTGCTGCAGGCCAAATCAGACCGCTGAGTGTAAAAAAAAAAAAAAAAAAAAAAAAATCAACTGCAACAGTGAAACAAAGAAGAGCAAGTGAGACAGAGCAGCGTGACCAGTCTGAGAACATCAAGGACTCGTCTTTTTTTTTTTGGTGGCTGAATGTCACACTCTCCTCCTGCAGTAATGGGATGATTTGGTGCCCTCCTGTATGACAATGATAGACTTTAAGAGGCTTCCTTTGAGTACACAACACGCACATATTGTGTAGGAACACAAGTGTGTTCAGGTGTCTGGAAAGTCAAGCATGTGTCTCTTACTGCCATATGACCAGATTGAATTCCACGACTGCTTTTGAAGACTGAATGATGATTCAAAGCATCATCTACTTATATCCAAAAAAGCTGCGTTTAATGACATGTTTAATGACTCATGACGCAGGCAAATGGGCTATATTTAAAATCTGAAGACGTCAGAAAAAAAATGCCTTTTTTTTCTCCAATTAGAGGCATCCTTTTGGAAACAGAATCACACTTCTTCTATAGAGGCTCAAAAAGGAAGTGCTGACGCCTGGTCCCTTGCTTATGTCAGGCTTTGACAGGCTGGAAATTCATCAAATAATCAAGGTGGGAGAATATTTTAACAATGGCAGGCAGAAGATAACAGAGAAAATACAAAACAGAGAGTTGAATGTATCTGCTTCACTTCCCTTTCTTCTTTTTTCTTCATATTTTTGTTTTTGTCAATTACTTTTTTTGGCTTTGATGTTCAGTTTGGACAAACTCTGGTTAAAGCAAGGGTTAATGATGTTTTCTTTTTGTCAACAAAAAAGCTGCACCTAAAAGTTGCACACTTGCAGATGTGTTGCTCTGAGTTAGGCATATTTTTATAGGTTGAAAAAAAGCACATCCTTGCTTGAAGCGTACTTTGCCTCAGTGAACCAAATTATTAATATCTTAATTAACAACTACAATACGGAGAAAGTGCGAGACACACAAGCAAAATGAAAGATGCTTGTTCCTTTCAGGCTGTCAGAGAATGAGCTATGCAGCTAAATTTGACTGACTCCAAAAGCTAATTCCCCTCCAGCACTGAAACAGAGACATTTGCATAGTAAAGGCTTACATAGGACCTTAAATGTTTTCAGGGTAAAAAATATGTGGAGTACTACATAAGAAGGCACAAGAGCACATTTAAGGTTTTGAGGACTTTTTAATATTAACTTGCTGAAACAAAGATCAAACAGTTCCGTGTTACAGTTTAGCAAACTTGACTCGTTAAAATTGAAAGGATGAATTGAGGTACTTTTATTCTATAAAGTTGGGGGACTCACAGGAAGCTCGTGTACATTTCAGTTTCATAGGGACACTCACACATACAGACTAAAGGGCAACAGGCTGTCAATTATTGTGAACAAAACACAGCCTGGCAACTCCTACACTGTTAAACCCAAAGACGCTGATGC